AATAATTTTGAAATGAGGAAGCCTGAGTCCTCCATTGTCCTTTTTCAAAACTGTCTGGGTTATTCAGGGCCCCTTGAGATTACACGTGAATGTCAGGATGCCTTTAATGACATATTAAGGCTTCCAATCCATGAACATGGGATGTCTTTGCAGTTATTTTTATCTTCCCTAATTTCTTTCAGCAAGGGCTTTTCCCTCCCTCCCTCCCTCCCTTCTAGAGACAGGGTCTCACTGCGTAGCCCAGGCTTGTCCCAAACTCATGGTGATCCTCCTCCTGCCTCAGCCTCCCAAATGCTAGGATTACAGATGTGTGCCACCATGCCCAGCCAGCATACATTGTAATTTTCAGCACAGAAATGTTTCATCTCCTTGGTTAAACATTTCCTAAGTATTTTATTACTTTTGAAACTACTGCAAAATTTTCTTCTCAAACTGCTCATTGTTAGTGTATAGAAATGTAACTGATTCTTTGTGTTGATTTTGCATCCCGTAAATTTGCTGAATTTATTAATTCTAACATTTTTGGGATTATTGAGACAGGGTCTCCCTATGTTGTTCAGACTGGCCTCAAACTTGTGGCAATCCTCCTGTCTCAGCCACCCTAGTGCTGGGATTACAGGCGTGCACCACCACGCCTAGCTTAGGAATCTTTAAATTTTCTACAGATAAAACCTTATCAGGGCTGGGGATTTAGCTCAGTGGCATAGCGCCTGCTTGGCAAGCGCAAGGTTGTGAGTTCGATTCCTGGTACTGGAAAACAAAACAAAATAAAAGACCTTCTCATTTGTGAAAAGAGATTACTGTAGTTCCTTCTTTTCAATGGCATCTTCTTTTCCTTGACCAGCTGCTCCAGCTAGTACAAGTGGTACAGGGATCCCCCTCACCTTAATTCTGAGACTGAGGCGGGCAGCCTCTGTTCCCGCACCACTATGATACTAGCGTGTGTTTTTCACAGACTGCACATATGGTGTTAAGGAAGTTTCCTTCTGTTTTTAAGTATTTTTAAATCACAAAAGGGAGCTGAAATTTGTTAGATGCTGTTTTATTTTTCAACAATTTAAGATAATCCACCATTCCCTCTTGAATCGAATCCACCTGGGCTCCATCCTCAGAGCTGCTCTTGTCACTGGGTGTGCTAGTGCATGCCTGGCATCTCCACACTCTGGGAGGCTGAGGCATGAGGATACCAAGTTTGAACTCAACCTGGGCAATTTATT